ACCAGAAGTACATTAGGTATGTTGTTTTCTATCCGAGACGTACATTAGACATATTGTTTTCTACACCAGAAGTACATTAGGTATGTTGTTTTCTACACCAGACGTACATTAGACATATTGTTTTCTACACCAGACGTACATTAGATATGTTGTTTTCTATCCCAGACGTGCATTACACATATTGTTTTATACACCAGACGTACATTAGGTATGTTGTTTTCTACACCAGACGTACATTAGGTATGTTGTTTCCTATCCCAGACGTACATTAGACATATTGTTTTATACACCCGACGTACATTAGGTATGTTGTTTTCTATCCCAGACGTACATTAGACATATTGTTTTATACACCTGACGTACATTAGGTATGTTGTTTTCTATCCCAGACGTACATTAGACATATTTTTTGATACACCAGATGTACATTAGGTATGTTGTTTTCTATCCCAGACGTACATTAGACATATTGTTTTCTACACCAGAAGTACATTAGGTATGTTGTTTTCTACACCAGACGTACATTAGACATATTGTTTTCTACCCCAGACGTACATTAGATATGTTGTTTTCTATCCCAGACGTACATTAGACATATTGTTTTATACACCAGAAGTACATTAGGTATGTTGTTTTCTATCCCAGACGTACATTAGACATATTGTTTTATACACCAGAAGTACATTGGTATGTTGTTTTCTACACCAGATGTGCATTACACATATTGTTTTCTACACCAGACGTACATTAGGTATGTTGTTTTCTATCCCAGACGTACATTAGACATATTGTTTTCTACACCAGAAGTACATTAGGTATGTTGTTTTCTACACCAGACGTACATTAGGTATGTTGTTTTCTATCCCAGACGTACATTATACATATTGTTTTATACACCAGACGTACATTAGGTATGTTGTTTTCTATCCCAGACGTACATTAGACATATTGTTTTCTACACCAGAAGTACATTAGGTATGTTGTTTTCTACACCAGACGTACATTAGGTATGTTGTTTTCTATCCCAGACGTACATTAGACATATTGTTTTCTACACCAGACGTACATTAGGTATGTTGTTTTCTATACCAGACGTACATTAGACATATTGTTTTCTACACCAGAAGTACATTAGGTATGTTGTTTTCTACACCAGACCTACATTAGGTATGTTGTTTTATACACCAGACGTACATTAGACATATTGTTTTTACACCAGACGTACATAAGGTATGTTGTTTTATACACCAGACGTACATTAGACATATTGTTTTCTACACCAGACGTACATTAGGTATGTTGTTTTCTACACCATCCAATCCATGCTAGATGTGTTCTTCTACTAGCACACATTGAATGTATTGCACTCTTCACCAGACTTACATTAGATATGGTGATTCTTCATCAGACTTACATTAGATATGGTGATTCTTCACCAGACTTACACTAGATATGGTGATTCTTCTTCAGACTTACACTAGATATGGTGATTCTTCTCCAGACTTACACTAGATATGGCGATTCTTCTCCAGACTTACACTAGATATGATGATTCTTCATCAGACTTACACTAGATATGATGATTCTTCACCAGACTTACACTAGATATGATGATTCTTCATCAGAATAACACTAGATATGGTGATTCTTCATCAGACTTACACTAGATATGGTGATTCTTCTTCAGACTTACACTAGATATGGTGATTCTTCTCCAGACTTACACTAGATATGGCGATTCTTCTCCAGACTTACTCTAGATATGATGATTCTTCATCAGACTTACATTAGATATGGTGATTCTTCATCAGACATACACTAGATATGGTGATTCTTCATCAGACTTACACTAGATATGGTGATTCTTCATCAGACATACACTAGATATGATGATTCTTCACCAGACTTACACTAGATATGATGATTCTTCACCAGACTAACACTAGATATGGTGATTCTTCATCAGACTTACACTAGATATGGTGATTCTTCTTCAGACTTACACTAGATATGCTGATTCTTCTCCAGACTTACACTAGATATGGCGATTCTTCTCCAGACTTACACTAGATATGATGATTCTTCATCAGACTTACACTAGATATGGTGATTCTTCATCAGACATACACTAGATATGGTGATTCTTCATCAGACTTACACTAGATATGGTGATTCTTCATCAGACTTACACTAGATATGGTGATTCTTCACCAGACTTACACTAGATATGATGATTCTTCATCAGACTTACACTAGATATGATGATTCTTCATCAGACTAACACTAGATATGGTGATTCTTCATCAGACTTACACTAGATATGGTGATTCTTCTTCAGACTTACACTAGATATGGTGATTCTTCTCCAGACTTACACTAGATATGGCGATTCTTCTCCAGACTTACACTAGATATGATGATTCTTCATCAGACTTACACTAGATATGGTGATTCTTCATCAGACATGACACTAGATATGGTGATTCTTCATCATTCTTCATCAGACTTACACTAGATATTACACTACAGATATGGTGATTCTTCATCAGACATACACTAGATATGATGATTCTTCATCAGACTTACACTAGATATATGATTCTTCATGGCACTAGATGGTGATTCTTCATCAGACTTACACTAGATATGGTGATTCTTCTTCAGACTTACACTAGATATGCTGATTCTTCTCCAGATTACACTAGATATCGATTCTTCAGACTTACACTAGATATGCTGATTCTTCATCAGACTTACACTAGATATGGTGATTCTTCATCAGACTTACACTAGATATGGTGACTAGATATGATGATTCTTCATCAGACATACACTAGATATGGTGATTCTTCATCAGACTTACACTAGATATGGTGATTCTTCATCAGACTTACACTAGATATGATGATTCTTCACCAGACTTACACTAGATATGATGATTCTTCACCAGACTTACACTAGATATGATGATTCTTCATCAGACTAACACTAGATATGGTGATTCTTCATCAGACTTACACTAGATATGGTGATTCTTCTTCAGACTTACACTAGATATGGTGATTCTTCTCCAGACTTACACTAGATATGGCGATTCTTCTCCAGACTTACTCTAGATATGATGATTCTTCATCAGACTTACACTAGATATGGTGATTCTTCATCAGACATACACTAGATATGGTGATTCTTCATCAGACTTACACTAGATATGATGATTCTTCATCAGACATACACTAGATATGGTGATTCTTCATCAGACTTACACTAGATATGGTGATTCTTCATCAGACTTTCACTAGATATGATGATTCTTCATCAGACTTACACTAGATATGGTGATTCTTCATCAGACACACACTAGATATGCTGATTCTTCTCCAGACTTACACTAGATATGGCGATTCTTCACCTGACTTACACTAGATATGATGATTTTTCTCCAGACTTACACTAGATATGGTGATTCTTCACCAGACGTACACTAGATATGATAATTCTTCACCAGACTAGATATGGTCTGATTCTTCATCAGACTAACACTAGATATGGTGATTCTTCTTCAGACTTACACTAGATATGGTGATTCTTCTTCAGACTTACACTAGATATGATGATTCTTCTCCAGACTTACACTAGATATGATGATTCTGCTCCAGACTTACACTAGATATGATGATTCTTAATCAGATTTACACTAGAAATGGTGATTCTTCATCAGACTTTCACTAGATATGGTGATTCTTCTCCAGACTTACTTTAGATATGGTGATTCTTCTCCAGACTTACACTAGATATGATGATTATTCACCAGACTTACGTCTGATGACATATGCTAGACTTATTGAATTCTACGCCCAATGCACACTGCTCACATTGCATTCTACATCCCAGTAGCACTGTATATGTTGAGTACCTGCCGTACGTTAGACATATACACCCTAAGTACATCAGACATATTGTCTTCCACACCCGACGTGAACTTGACATATTGTATTCCATTTCCGAAGTATACTTCATACCTCGTATTCTACACCTTTGTAGTAGCACCATGAATGTTGTATTCTATACCCGACGTACATTATCGAATTCATAACATATCGTGTAGGTGTGCTTGATATGTTTTAACAACATTAAAATCACGTTTTGAAGTATGTGTTAGGCCCTAGTCAAATTTTCCTGTCTATTTATCAGAAAGCGTTTGTTTTTATTGTAGCTGTACAGTGTCAAATGCATCGGCGATACACAATGCAGAATAAAGCCCTTCGCACGCTACTGTTAACCTCTGCGTGCCACCTACCCCTGCCTGCACCGACACGTATGGTCTTGTATATCAGCATTAAATACTAAACGAAACAAGTTAAAAGGCTATCCCATTTATCCGTGTCACACTTTCAGGTTTAACATATTTTTATTCTGTTTATGCTATAGATGTGTGTTATATACACACATACAGGCGGGTAGCTTCTTGCTGTGGCGGAGCAGCCACGAGGTTCAGACGCGTGCACGGCACGTACCACGCGTGCACGGCATCAGGTCACGCACAAAGCGGGAAGATATACAAAAAATACACCTTTTCTATTCATGTCCAACTGATATTGTAATTCGTTACAAAAAAAGAAACTACGCTGATACAGAATGATGTTCATAAAAAAACAGATGTTGTTCATGTAATGAATAATGTATAACGCTGTGACTGCCCCAGTCTCCATTCAGACAATATCCGCACTGACGTGTTAAAGGGGCTGGTATCGGAGTGGTCGTTGCCTCAAGTACCCGTGTGTACTCGGGGTAGATGGCGGCATCGCGCCAGGCCAACACACAGCCCTAACTCTTTACGGATTATTTATTTGTCATTGGTAAACAAGGCTTATCACGCTCACTTGCCCACGTGCGAGTAAAAATGCCGAGATCTGATTGGTCACTGGGTTTTGGGAGGAGTCAAGCCACGTGGCGAAGTGATGATTGGCGGGCGTATAAAACAAGGTAGCGCGTGGACGTCTGGTTATGATTATCAGCAGGCGACTTGGAAGTTATATGAGAGACAGGCAACTTACCAGACAACTCTAGTCAAGATGATGGAGAATTTCCTCTATAGTCTTGAGGATGATTTCCTGGATTTCTGTGAGCCAATGGACTATTGTGAAGATCTCAGCTCGCCATGCTCAAATGAATCAGATCAAGAAAACCATAACTTTTTGCAATCAGACAGGCGACTTCTAAAGGCTCCAGTGAAGAAAGTACAGCAACGAAAGGCTGCAAATCTTCGTGAACGTCGTCGAATGAAATCCATAAATGATGCATTCGACCATCTGAGAACTTGTATCCCTGCAACAGTTAACGCTGACAGGCGTCTATCTAAGGTCGACACGCTCCGGCTGGCCATCAGGTATATCGGCTACCTGGGGGATCTTGTCACAACCTACGATGACTACGGCTTGGACTCTCAGTATTCCAGGAATCACAAAAGCCAGGAAAAAGTTATTCTACGGTGCCAGTTCACAGGTAGGTTACATATAAATGTATTTATATATCTAGAAAATATGTGACACGGTAATAAACTATTTTTCTTTTTCCCATATATTTCAGCTTGTGTATCTCTAAAAATCTCCCAGGAGACAATTCTGGAAACTGCGTAAAAAGCGCATGCCATTCACGGGGGCCGACACAGGCTCCATCGTTATATCATGCCATAACTGTGGCGGGCTATAGGTTTTTACTGACATAATTGATATGTTCTTTTACTGAGTTCATCGAAGAGGTATAACTTTTGGTGTTTTGGTGTCATCGCCTATGACTCAAATATTACATTTTGCACAGTTGATGTTAATTGAAAAAGTATATGTTGTCCATGTATACTAAAGAATAAGTGTCAACCGACTTCATAAAATGTTTCAAGATTCGTAGAACTAGTTGTGTGACAAACCTCTCTTTTAACATATTATTATGGTTATTTTTACAGATGATGACAGCCAAGACGGTTCAACACTGATTGGCCACTCCTTGTCATGGTCAAATGACAATACACCAAAACCAACAGAAAACAAACTGACAGCTAAAATCTGGATGCCAGAAAATCCAACGGAATCTGACATCATCAACCTTGCCAACTATGCGTCAGACTATGCGTCCTGATGACGCGCTCATCTGAAGCGCTGATCCAAATACAACCTTGCAATACCAATACTACTGAAGTTTCTATCCCTGGTGCTAAACAGATTATCCAAGTCTTAAGCTCCCATGACTCAGGAAAGAGAGCTTTCACCAAAGCATGTACCTGAGTCCACTTTCATACTGTCATGTGTAAGACTTGATGTATAAACTTGTACGAGCATTGTTGTATACCGGAGACAGTATTTAAATATTGTTGTTGGCTGCTGGCACCATCGTGTGTGTACCCGTGCCTTTATGTGTGCGCGTGTGTGTATAATTATCCAGGTCCAGATAGACCGAGTTCGACTGCAGGCAGTTGATGTTTTTTACTGTAGTATCCCTACTGCGCATATTACTTGGAGAGGGTTGGGGGGTCATATTTTTAGCTGCGAGTTATGCTTGCGGGCGTTATAGTGCTGTTTCAGGAAAAGAACATTCACACTGACTTACTATTTTATTATCTGTGTTGCTGGCCAACGGGGATTAACATAACACTCAACAGTTCAAAGCATGTAGCCATTACATGGTAACCTTTGCATGTAGATTCAGTGTAAGGCCTGATATTCTATGGCAGATCACTGAGAACAGTAGATAAACGGGATGAAATGTTCAGCTGCATTTACATGAACGAGTGAAAGACGTTGATATGTTTGATAATGTTTACTTACACAACGTTATTTTTTGCAAAGCTATTATTAAAAAATCGTTACTTGTTTGAAATAAATATTGCTTATTTCATGATACTGTGTCTGTTCATTTATATATACACATGTCTTCTGACATGTACACATGGCATTCCTTCTACATGTGAGCTGTGCAAGTAAGCCGGCGTCTCACGCCTGTCAGTGAAGCCATGCTGGTGACACATCACGTCATGCAATACTGGTGTTTGTGGTGTTAGACATTATGCCTGAAGAGAAATTTCAGTGGTTATGTCTCATTGTGTGACTTTAAATCAGTTGGAATTGCACTTTCTAATAACATTTCCCCAAGTCTTGTTACAAACGTTAAATAACATGTATAGTCTGTTTGCAGTGAAAACGTACCGATGAATTTAACTTTAAACCAAAAAGTAAAACAAATAAAGTGAAATTAAGACTGCGAATCTTCATGATTTTACCTTGCCAATTGAACATTAGGATAAAAGTTGTTTAACAAACGATCAAAGTTTCACATCGCTATTATTGGTTTATATTACCTACGATACACAACACGCGGGGCACATTTGTAAATGCTCCTACATAAAGTTACAGTAGTTCTTAAAGTATAATGAGACAAAGATAAGTGTTGACATCCAAGCCCTAGTCCTAGACTACGACAACTGTGAACCCAGCAGATGGACCTGTGATAAGATTGAGGTAAGCCAGAACGATAAGGCTCACACTTGAGCTGGTTTTGTCGATAACATGAGTAATAATTTTAGTTTAGATCAGCACGATTTCATAACATTCAGTAATGTGTACTTACTTAACACATGTTTTGATAACATAAGATGTAACTTGGATAAGCAAGCCCTTCAAGTTAAATCGACTTTATAAGGTCAATAAACTTCTTAGAACAAGCATAATATAAAAATATCAAAACCATTTTGTTTTAGACGAATTCACATAAGCGATAACACATTAAAATTACTATAGTTATATCACTTATGTCTAAATAATTATAGTTATTTGAATATATACATGCAAACACGATTGTTGTAACTGAGCTATCGTTCCAAATATATGTAAACAACCTCTGTGAGCTTTTCCACTGATGTTTCTGCATTTATCCCACATATATTTAACATATATTGTTGGTTATGCAGCACTGACGTATTTCTATGTTTTCTATGGTGTATTTATTATACGAGTTGCCACAGTGAATGATTGCATAATATGACCTGATATATCTGCAGCGTTATACAGTACTGACATATCTGTTCTGTGATTCTCTAATACAACCTGACATATATCTATGATCATACAATACAACCTGACATATATCTATGATCATACAATACAACCTGACATATATCTATGATCATACAATACAACCTGACATATATCTATGATCATACAATACAATATCCTGACATATATCTATGACATATACAATACAACCTGACATATATCTATGATCATACAATACAACCTGACATATATCTATGATCATACAATACAACCTGACATATATCTATGATCATACAATACAACCTGACATATATCTATGATCATACAATACAACCTGACATATATCTATGATCATACAATACAACCTGACATATATCTATGATCATACAATACAACCTGACATATATCTATGATCATATCATACATACCTGACATATATCTATGAATACAATACAACCTGACATATATCTATGATCATACAATACAACCCGACATATATCTATGATTATACAATACAACCTGACATATATCTATGATCATACAATACAACCTGACATATATCTATGATCATACAATACAACCTGACATATATCTATGATCATACAATACAACCTGACATATATCTATGATCATACAATACAACCTGACATACATCTATGATCATACATTACAACCTGACATACATCTATGATCATACAATACAACCTGACATATATCTATGATTATGCAATACAACCTGACATATATCTATGATCATACAATACAACCTGACATATATCTATGATCATACAATACAACCTGACATATATCTATGATCATACAATACAACCTGACATATTTCCTTAACCACACAATACGATCTGACATCTTTTTCGACATTATATAATTTAAGGTGACATATTTGTATGATCACTCAATGGAAGATCACGTATTTATATGGCTATATAACACAAGCTTACACATTTGTATGATCACTCAATGGAAGATCACGATTTATATGGCTATATAACACAAGCTTACATATTTATATGAACACTCAATGGAAGATCACGTATTTATATGGCTATATAACACAAGCTTACACATTTGTATAAACACTCAATGGAAGATCACGTATTTATATGGCTATATAGCACAAGCTTACATATTTATATGATCACTCAATGGAAGATCAGCTTACATATTTATATGATCACTCAATGGAAGATCACGTATTTATATGGCTATATAACACAAGCTTACATATTTGTATGATCACTCAATGGAAGATCACGTATTTATATGGCTATATAACAAAAGCTTACATATTGTATGATCACTCAATGGAAGATCACGTATTTATATGGCTTTATAACACAAGCCTACATATTGTATGATCACTCAATGGAAGATCACGTATCTATATGGCTATATAACACAAGCTTACATATTGTATGATCACTCAATGGAAGATCACGTATTAATATGGCTATATAACACAAGCTTACATATTTGTATGATCATAAAAAACGAGCTACAAATATTAGTATGATTGTACTAACATTTTTGTATGTTTGTACAATACGGATCAGAGTACGTATGTGGATTTACAATACTCGTTGGCACATATCTATTTGGTTATAATATTTAGTACATTTAAACAATACGAATATTTGACGTATTTGACGGAAATAAGATACACGCTTTCTTATTAGAATATACAAGCTGGCTTATTTTTAGGATAATACAGTCGAAGCTTATATATTTGTATTGCCATACGAAGCGAGCTAGCATATTTGCATGATTATACAATATATACAATACTGACATATTTGGGATTACACTTTTTCAGTAATGTACGATTCAAGTAATTGTGTTGGGTTGAGTCCGATTGGCGGTGGCTGAGCGCGTTATGCGGCTGCCTTTGTGTGAAGGCGATTAGGTGCCTGACTCTGAGGGTGTGGGTTCGAATCACTTATAGGACTCCACCCAACATAAGAACTAGAATCTGTAATCAAAGATATGAAATATGTTACTTTTGACCACTTTCTAAATGGCATTGTGTATTCAAATACTGACATACATATGTGATTATTCATTAATAGTTTAGGTAGCTGTATGATGACACTTATCTACTTATAACATACGGGCTAGTATATTTCCTCCGATTATACAATACTGAAGTATGTATATGTGTGATTATAGAATGTTTGTAGGTTAATATAATATTGATGTTTGTTTATTTTTATACAATATATTTGTATGTTATACAATACGAGCTAACATATATCTGAAAATAATATGGCATTTATTATGGTCTGAAATTCGTATCTGTCTTTATTTTAGTTTAGCTATAATAGGTAAATATAAAACGTAAACGCCGTAGAATGGTGTTGATTAACGAACGACACATTCCTATCTGTGTAAAGGGCAAAACAGTGGTGAAAATAATGACTGGGTCACTGTCGCAGCAGAGCAATATTCAAAACCTTATTTCACTTATCCTAGTTAAATGAGCTGTTTAGATGCCATAATGCCATATTATGATGTTCATAGACCTTGCATATTGCCTCGAAGCGTATATATTCTAAAAGTACTGTAAAAGACTGTAAGGCATTTGCATGAGAATATGGGACAATGCGTAAACATTTTAACTTGCAGTGGGGAACAATGAATAAGAAGAAGATAACCGACTTAAAATGTTCTTCTTCCTTCGGAACGTGGAAACCGCTGGGAGCATGGGGTGGTTGAGAATCACCGAGATTATTCATACACAGGTGAACTGAAATCAAAACAAATATTTACATGTAAGCAACGCTCATACACAACAGTGGAAGTTGGAAAACGTGACATCTGCAAATTCAAATGCAAACAGAAACCTGTTATTACCCCGGGGGCAGGAGTTGATTGGTTAATGGGGGCCCTAATTAAACATATGAGCAGTGGACAGTTTCTTCCTCACGTGTGGGGTAGGGCTGGTCATGTTCCTATAGAACCCCTAGCCTTTTATTCTGTGTCGATTGGCGACAGGTCAATAAAAGGCCCACAAATTACTTCTGGTTTGAGATTCGATCTGACCAAATGAGTGGACACCAACCAATCTCCATGCCATGTAACTGACGGGCTTTATTCTCCAACATTGTGTACGGCACATAGTCTGTGACCAGTCTTCTGTTTCCCAACAATGAAGGTCTCAAATTAACATGTCCAAAATTACCCGTTATGATAAAGGCGGGTTTTAGTGCTCAGGGCAACTGGGAGCTGTACCGTTCAGTGGAGATCATGACCACAGTCTACTCTTACAACATACTAAAACGATTTTAAATGTGTGTTTTCTTTTGTGGTAGGTTAAGCTGACTTGAGTTGGGCCGGGACATGGACCAAAGAGGAGAAAGGTCTACACATCAACATGCTGGAAATGAAAGCAGTCGTAAACGCCATACTCCGCTAGACCCCCATTCTACAGAATGCTCATCTGATGGTGCACACGGACAACTCCACAGTGGCGTTCTACATAAACAAGCAAGGATCAACACGGTCATCGAACCTCCTGGACCTCTGCTTTCAACTGTTCGACCTAACAGACGATCTGAACATCCACATAAGAGCATGACACATTCCGGGAGCCAAGAATGTGACAGCAGACGCACTCTCCCGTCCAACGCAACCATCTCCAACAGAATGGATGCTATATCCAGAGATCTTCAAGCAGATCATCCAAGAGATGGAAGTACCGCTAATAGACCTCTTCGCCACGAGATTCAACAATCAACTGACAACATTCGTCTCACCAGTGCCAGATCCACAAGCATGGGCAACGGACGCTCTAGCACAGATCTGTGCCACGTCTATATATCACAGTTAAATGTT